GGGGGTGTCATGGGGTGTAGGGGGGTGCCCTCATGTAGACAAACAAGAGTGTGTTTTTGCTGATTTTAGTTTTACTCTTCTTTGAGCTTGGAGGGCTAATCAGGGGCATAATTAAAGAAGAAAATGTCTCTTCTTAATATAAATCTTTACAATTTATTCATGCAAGGCTGCTTCCTTTGCAAAGCATTGTGAGGGATGAACAGATATAAAGTGGTTGGCCCCAAGGCAGTTACTGCCATTTAAGCTGGGGGTATGGTTAAGGAAGGGTTTCTGTAGGGAAGAAGGTTCCTGAGGGCTAGGATTGGGCTTTGTGTCTGTGGGAGCTTTCACTTTTTTCTTTAAGCATCTGTGTTTCTTTGCTCTTTCCACATTCTTGGCAAAACTGTCTCCACCCTGAATTTTGGGGGCAGCCTTTTCAGAGCTGTTGCTGGAGAGCTGAAAATCATTTTACCATACCACTGTCCTTAGGCTTACCTGATCCTTTCTAAATCCCTTCTTTGATACAGTGAGAACTGGCCATAAAAAATAAGCATACTTTATAAAGCTCTGCACAAGTAGGAATCTCTCATCTTTTATTATCAAGATGGAGTATGCGTGTCTTATCTCCTGTTTCCTTAATGCAAACTACCTTGGCTGCTTTACAGCTAGTAGCTTTGGAGGAAAATGAAAATGTAAAGTAAAATTAAGACTTGGATAGAGCCATTACTGTTGTGAGCAGCTGGTGGGAGGAAGGTCAGAGACTTACTTGCTGACTGGATTGTGGAATTTCAATGAAGTGCCTGAGGCTGTACTGCTCGCCAGCCTACAGCAGGACTCTGTCCCACTACTTAATTTCTAAATGCGGCCTTTCTGCGGAGTGTACTCACATTCTGTCCTCCAGCCAGCTCCCACGTGTAATTTCCATACTGGTAGACCATACAGCGAGATTGCTCCTTAAAATGCATGGCTGAGAAATTGCTCCACCAGTCAAACATATTTCCATCTTTGTCAAAGTTCCTGCCTGTTCACAAAACCAAAAAAAGGGGAAAAGACTTGTTTCAGAGGGTAGTGGTTTGCACGTCCACTGCCCAAAATCAGCTGCCTTTTAAGTATTTGCTTCTCCGTTCCAATACAGACACTTACTAGTTCATGTAGAGCAGCATTTCTCAACCTGTGGGTTGGGACCCAAAAGTGGGTCGCAAGAATATAGGAAAGAGCCACGAATAAACTTTTAAATGGATCAACAAACTTTAAAAATGGCTTCTCCTATAAAAGAGAAACATTTGGGAAACTGTGGCTTTTCCCTTGTGGCTGGCAGTTACAGCCTGTAAGGGGCTGCTTGGGGCTCCCCATGCCTCACACGTCTATCTCCTGCCCCACACACTGTGGGGCTGGAGCCTGGGGGCAACAGGTCTGGAGTGAGGGGCCACTGGGTCAGGACTGGCCAAAGATGTTTACAGATGGGTCCTGGTACAAAAGAGGTTGAGAACCACTGACTTAGAGCAACTACTAGTCTATGTAGTAGCCCATTCCCTCTCACTAGCACTCCCATCTGTTTCACCTATTGATGAGTTGTTTAGTTTGAGTGTAAATTCTTTGGGCCACATCTTCTCTCTCATGTTGCCCCATGCCCAACATACTATAACTCTGTTTCTAGTTGCAGCTTTAGGCATTTCTGTAATTACGATAATAATATGCACACAACTTGTAAACTCCCTGTAAACAAAAAAAAATGCTATACCCGCTTTACAGATGAGGAAACTGAAGGTTAGTGGCACTGTCAAAGCCACAAAGGGAGAAAAACAATAATAATATTCTCCCTATTCTGTTGCTCAGAAATGCCTTGTATTCATTACAGATCTGGATTCCTGAAGCTACAGCAGGGGTCTTATCTATAAATAGACTCTATTGGGTTAAAAACCAGAAACAATAATATCTAGGTGTAAGAAGTTACTTGTAACTAAAATATATCAGAATCAGCTTTCCACGTCCCCAACTATTCTAGGTTCTTCTCTATGATAATTGCAAGATCAATTAATCTTAAGCATTTAGGTGAAAAAACAAACACCCCCACGGCGTTAGAAAACTGCATGTTGCTGTTTTACCACGGGAACTGACGTTGTACATTCGGTTTGACATCGAGATAACAGGCAGCCCGGTGTTGATAGTGTTTCTGATCTTTCAGTGCTGCAGAAATAATAGGTTGTCCCAAGGATTCCCATTATATTAATTCATTTGTTTTAAATTTGGTTATTCTCATCGCCTCTGCCAAGTTCAAAGAGCATTCACTCCAAATCACACATTGGCAGTGTGTTGTTGGTGTGTGTGGGTTCACGCATACAACAGTGCATACATGCATGTTTCTATCAGCACAGCCAATGCTGATGGGCTGTTATCAGATGCATTTGGTTTCCCAGAGGGTGATCAGTGAACCTGTAAAAGGGGTATTTTGCACAGATAGATACATAGGTTTTCAGCCTCTTCTCACCATTGTCATCAAAACCGTGAGTAATTTCATGCCCAATTACCATCCCAATCCCTCCAAAGTTTAATGCCTGTGGCTGGTGTTTACTAAAGAAGGGAGGCTGCAGAATCCCAGCTGGAAAGACTGCGAAGAGAGAGAGAGAGAGAAACAGGTTCAGACCATTTCATTTTTGAGTATGTATCTGATAGATCAGCCACAGGCACCTAATCTTCAGGATGAGTGTGGAGGATCTAAACAGAAAACAATGTAAGTGGGAGAGGAAGGTTTCCTCTGTCTGTTGCCTGGTTTATGTTCAGTTAGGCATCTCATCGTACCCCAAATCAGACATCAAGTTTTGTCATACGAAATAAGTTCTATCTCTCGGACTTGACAGGGAGCAGTTCTTACAGGTTTAGTTGATAAAATGGGCAAACTATAAAACCTCCCATTTGAGAACCCTTCTGTCTTAGTTATTTTAGTTGTACATCTCGTGTCTGAGAGAGCGCAGATGCAATAAAAAGAAGATTATAGAAATATACCATGCAGTGTCCTTATTTGTTCTTAGTCAAGCTGAAATATCTGTCTTGCCAGACTGCCCAAGCCCTATGTACAACCTGATGTCTGAAAAGCAGCCTGGCTCTTCATCTGCCCCTGAAAGGAGAGAGTCAACAGTCAGAGCTAGTGTTGGTCAAAAAAGTGGAACTGATTTTCATGGAAACCTTCAGAATTGGTTTTGTGTTGAAATGCTTGACGTGATCCATTTTACTGGTGTTTTTTTAGAATAGTTGACCCCCAAAAATCCCCTTTTTGAGTTCAAATAAAAATATTCTAATATGGAAATAAAATATTAAAGTAGTATTGAAAAGAGGCACTTTATTTTCCTGAAATGCCAAACATTTGTTAATTCTCAGTACTTTGCAAAAAATTGTATTGGGGAGGGGGGAGAAGGGGCCAGTTTTTGACAGCTCCCTCCAACTCCCTTCTTTTTACAAATGGAGTGGTTGTAACTGCACAGTTGAAAATGCTTTTAATAATGCGCGAGGCCGAATGGATTCTCCATCCCCCTCTCACAGCTGTGCTGGACTTTATGGGACTGCGATGGTAGTTAAAATTTTATATTTGTCAATAAAGGCAACAGAGCTGACTGAGGCGCACAGAAGACACCCTGGAATTACTGTTGCATGTGATTTTTGGCTCACCTGAATATATTTTCCTCCTTTCTGTCCTGACGAACTATGTTCAGTTTGTATCTTGCAGCCAGTTTATGGGGGAACTAATGGAGGTTTTATTGCTTTATTTTTGTTACCAGAAAGGTTGGCAACCACATGCAGCCTACAAACAACACTGAAGCTCAGTGTTTAAAACCTACCTGATAGGAATTTCTACTGTGTATCAACTACGCTTTGGATGAAAGCTCTGGGGAAAAAAATAGTTTTGGCCTCCCCCACCCTACTAACACAAGTCGAATATTTAGACTGCAGAATTTATTCTTTCTTCCATGCATTAAAGATGAGACTCAAACAAACTTCAAGCAGGAATTAAGGTGTGAAAACAAGGCCCTTCTAAGAAGATCCTTTCCAACAAGTGAAACAAATTGAAACGATATATAAGACATACTCTTGTAGAGAGAGAGTCCAAGGCTGTTGCCTGCAATGAAAAGAGCAGTTATCCAGCCCGGTTTTTTGTTTGGGCCATCAAAAAACCTACCAAAAATGTAAAAGTGACAAAAGTATTCTGCAGTAGATGTTTCTCAGAGGATCTTCTCTTTCAGAAGTCAGGACAAAATCCTGGACAGCGTGTAACCCTCCCACGTCAGACTGATGGCAACGTAACGTCCCCAGAGGCCCTCCCGGGGTCTCTGGGGGCTTTTTTTCCTGCTGGGGAAAAAGCTCTGGTTTGAGGCAGGGCTTCTGTGGTGGAGATGATTAGAGAGAAATCCCACCATGCTAGCCGTCTAAGGAGAAAGCTGTATGCCATGTTTTCCATTAGGCCTTTTTAATGTCTCCTTTGTAATTCACAAAGCAAGCCTTAAGGAGAGGACAGGAAATAATATGAAGTACAGTGAAGTCGCACAGATAAAAGCAGATAAAAGGCAATCCTGAGGATCTCTGCATTTGTATTGGCCACAGTTACAGTTGGGAGGAACATACCCAAGTGACTGCTTTGTGTTCCATTCCCCTGGGGAAAGAAAACATGGAAACCTAAAACGGGCTGTTTTCTATCATGCAATTAATGGCAGATGTGCCTGTTAGGATAGAGTCTTTTAATAAATCAAAAGGATGATGTCAATCTCCCCGCCTCACTCCTGGTTTAATTCCTATTCTGTTTCAATCTACGGCTTGCAATTAGCTGAGTAGTTCACTGCAAGAGATGGAGGTGGAAGTATAGGAGAGTCTCAAGGACATCAAGGCACCCAAATAGGTGCCTGCTGGTTTGCTGAGGTCCACATCATTGTGGTGAGACTGGCATGCACAATATGGTCAGCTGAGGGCATAGCCCTATTCTTTAGGGGTAGGGAAATATTCAGACTTTGGAGGCAATGGGGAAAAAGGGAACATGTAACTATAAAAGTGATGAGGAATGGAAATAAAAAGGGCAGCATCTAGTGTACTCAAAGGGATTGTGAAGAGACACAGAAGCAGGGGAGGTTAAGTCAGATGGAAGATTTGTAGTTGATGATGTGGAAGTGACCTAGCACATGAGTGTGCCAGATGCTTGTGCCTTGTGCTGCTGAGTTTGCTTTCCACTTCCTTTTTTGTGTGTTTGTTTTTACTTATACACACAGAAGAGAGGCCCGAGTCTTCACCCCAGAAACGTGAGCGAGTTGAGAGGCTGTGCACTTAACAGCCACGTACTTCAGGGTAAAGACTATCCGTTTGGATCTGAGGAGAGTTTGGCACAACGGTTCTTCCAGGCTCTTTGCAATACAAGAAGGCTGCTGACACATGGGAAAAAATTAAACAAAACAGCACTTTACTTTCAGCTTGGCATACACCTGCACCAAGCGCACTGCATGCCCAGAAGAGGAACTGCATCAGTTTGACCCAGCTCATCCAGCATCTGTATAGATTGCATGCTTCAGCAGGGTTTTTTGGCACTTTTATCTAATAGCTAATTGAGTCAATTATTAGATAAAAGTGCCAAAAAGCACCGTTTGCTCTTCAGGTAAAGTGCTATTTTAGGTTTTTTTTCCACATCTGTCAGCAGCCATAATGAATACTAATGAAAAATATTTGCCACCACCTTTCTTGGAGGATCAGAGTTCAATAAAGAATGCCAATTCTGCAGCCAAACATCCAGAGGCTGATGTTAAGCCATGTTTCTTACCTTTTGTGTGAGAAAAAATTTCTGTTTTTTTAGTTTTAAATTTACTACCTACTAATTTCAATTTATGATCCTTAGTTCTTGCATTGTGAGAGATAGTAAATAATAAACCCCTATTTACTTTTTCTTCGCCTTTTAGTATTTTGTAAACTTTTATCATGTCTCCCTGCAAGCATCTCTCTTCTAAACTGAATAGGCCTAGGCTCTTTAGACTCTCCTCATGTGGAAGCCCCTCCATACCACTTGGTACCCTTCTCTGTTAGCTTTTCTAGGTCTTCTATACAGATTTTTATGTGTGGGGACCAGAACTAAGCACAGTATCCAAGGATGCACCATGGATTTATAAAGGGGCATAATGATACTTTTTGTTTTGTTTGAAATTCCCATCTTGATAATTCCTAACATCTTGTTTGCCTTTTTCATGATTGCTGAGCACTGAGCTGATGTTTTCAGTGAACTGTCTGCAATGACTCTGAGATCTCTCCTGTGTGGTAACAGGTAATGTAGAGCCCACCATAGTATGGGTATAGTTTGGGTTATTTTTGCCCATGTGCATCACTTTACACATATCTACATTAAATTTCATTGGCCACTTAGTTGTCCATTTACTCAGTAGTGCCAGATCCTCCTGTAGTTTCCCACAGTCAGCTCTGCTCTTTACCACTCTGAATAATTTGTTGATCCTTAAATTTGGCCACTTCACTATTCACTCCATTTTCCAGATCATTTATGAATGTGTTAAACAGCAGCAGTCCCAACACAGATCCCTGGGCCCCCCGCTGTTTACTTCTTTCCATCCCCCAAAATGACCAGTTATACTCACCCTGTGGACCTTCCCTGTAATCCCATGGCTAGTTAACTTCATTAAGTGCCTTTGATGGGGGACCTTGTGAAAGGCACTTTGGAAGTCCAGATATACTATGTCAGCTGGATTATCATGATCCACCTGCTTACTGATACCCTCAAAGAAATCTAGTTGGTTGGTGAGGTCTGATCTCCCTTTGACAAAACCATTCCTTTCCAGCAAGTCATGTTCATCCATTTGCTGAACAGTTCTTTTTTAAAATGTTTTATGCTACTTCAGTGAAGGTTTCTGAAATTATGACTCCC